TTTGGGACCTTGAGCCTGGAGATTTCAAAGTGATTTGGGGGGGATAAAAACTCCAATCCTCGGACCAGGTTTTTGGAATGGCCAGGAGACCGATTGGTCAGGTGTGTGCGATTCTCTTCTAGAGTTAGGACCAGAGTTCTGGGCTCCACCCTCCTGAGGAGTCCATGTGGGTGCAAGGGAGCAGCCACAAGTGTGCATGGTGGCACAAAGAAGTCTGAGAGCAGACAGGGCCCAAGCCTGTGGGCTGGAGAAGGAAGAGTGCTGAGAAAGGGCACTAACCCAGGTGCAGTGGGTTGTATGCGAAGAGGACCGAGGCATGAAGCCTGAGCAGCGGTGCTGCTAAAGAGAGCCAGGAGGTTGACTATTTTCATTTGTTTTGATGGTGGATACAACTGCGTGGGAAACATGTTATATGGAACTTTCTTTTAAATAAAATTGGGCAAAAACAGCCCTTAAAAAGAAGAAAGTGAGTGGCTGTGTGTTGTTAAAGCTCTACCGTTGATGCTAGTTCTCACAAGTGCTACTGGGATGCAACTCTGATAATGTCTATATATTCTTTGGGGCCAGCAGCACTGGAATCACACTAAAGTAGTATAGTACCTCTTCTAAAATCTCTCCGTGCTGAGCTGCATTTATTTGGACACAATTGAAAACAATGTGATTTCCACTGTCATGCGATTTTGTACGACTCAAGTTGCACTAGTGTGAACCAGGCCTAAAGAAAAAAATACAGCTTTTGCTGAATTACCTTCTCCCCACCACTCTCCCCTGAAGAATCACTGCTCTACGATCCATTGCTATTCACACTTCTTGTGAGCCCAGGCTGTCAAGAACACACCCTTGGGGCTGCTTAAGTACACTAGCTTGGGCTCCAGTAGTTGTGGACAAAGCAGTGTTCACATGTCATTATGTGAGCAATCTTCTGTCTAGCGGTAAGGTTGCTCATACACTAAAATTATATTTTAAGAATGTGTGCTCAATTTTCTATTCATTAGTGGGGTTAAATCAACGTTCATTTTCAATTGCAGTATTGAGACAATTCAAAGGAGTAGGATGGAAAATGTTTCAAAAAAAACTTCTAATAGCGACTCTGGTTTTTATTTGGGAAGGTCCATTCTTTTCAAAATTGAATGTTACAAACAAGCAAAATTTTGAAGAACTTTTGAATAATATGCATTAAGTCATGAAATGTACTGAGAATTTTCATACAAATGTTCATACAAATGTTCATTAGGAAATCAATTGGACAGCTCAAGGCTAGGGGCAAGGTTCAGCCTCACTACTATTCTGCATTTAGTATGCACAATCCCAGCAAATGTATGTGTGTTTTTAAAAGCAACAGCACTAAATGGCCCATAAACTATGGCCAACAGGCTTACAGGGGGCATTAAGGGGCTTTTGGAAAAACCAGCTCCGTCGCAATCAAGAAAGGGGCAAAGAGTGCCCAGAGTACTTTAATTCTGACTGCTAGCTCTTTGGGCAAACAACTCATTTGCTGCATATTTTGTTCCTATTATTGGGAGATTTTGGCAATAATTTTATATTGTGGTTAATATGGGGTCAGTGGTCACTGCTGCTGTTATCTGCTATCCCACTTGTTTTGTTGTAAAGCTTCCTTAAAAAAAAGGGATTTTGTTTCCGAGGAAGTATTTGGGGGTTTCACTTATTTTGGAGCACATTACTTTTAATTTTATGTTAATCAGGAATTTAGTTTTGGTTATACTGCTTTTTCTGAAGCAAGACTTCACTTAAAAAGTAGGCTTTTATTTTGGGGGTATTATTTTGTTTTGCTTTTTTGTTGGAGGTATGCTGGTTTTTATTGTATAGTGATAGGTACCTTTTTTTTATTTTAAACTGCTGTAAAAAAAAAAGTGTGCTTTTGTTTAAGGAGTGTTTTTTTGAGGATTTTATTTATTTTGCTTGTTTCTGTTTAAAAGCTGCAGCAGATATAACTCTTTCCAACCAAGAAAATGCTGGATACATAGCATAGCCCTTCTTGTTTTATTGGAAAACAAAAGGAACAAAGAGGCCAGAACTTACATCATAAATTTATAGTTCTAGCATGGAGAACAACAAATCATATAAGCATCATGCATAATATACAGTACCACTTGATGGTAGAACTGCTAAGCCAGTATAATATACAGTATATGAAAATGGCTGTTGCACCTATGTCTGTACAAACAGCATACTAATGTTTTCAGAATATTTCAGACTTTGCCTTGGCAGTGTTTTTTTCTTAGCATTCTAGTCCCTTGGCTGGGGTTTACTTAAACAACAAGAGTAAGCTTGGAGTTGGTTGAGTGATGTGATCTCTTCCTTTGCAGCTTTAATCTACACTTGCTTCTCATGATCTGGTAGCATTTGCCTTTCTTGTCATGGTGCTGGCTAAAGCTGGGGTGCTGTATGAACTCTACAGTGCTCAGCATAAATAGGCACACCTTTTGAAAAGTAAGATTTTATTCAATATCTCAATGAGCACAAGAACAATTTCCAAAATTTTGACAAAACTGAGTTTTATAGAACATTTGTTTAGCTCATTACATGAAAGTAAGCTTAATAATATAACTTAGATTACAAATCTTCCGTTTTACTCAAATTAGTTGATGCAAAAATGAATACACACCACAAAAAAAAACTACTACATCTAGTATTTTGTATGACCAGCACCAAGTCTTCTAGGCATGGAATGAACAAGTTGGCGACATATCGCAACATCTATCTTTTTCCATTCTTCAAGAACGACCTCTTTTAGAGCCTGGATGCTAGATGGAGAGCGATGCTCAACTTGTCTCTTCAGAATTCCCCATAGTTATTCGGTTGGGTTCAGATCAGGAGACATACATAGCCACTGAGTCACTTTCACCCTGTTCTTCTTCAGAAATCAACAGTATGTTTAGATGTGTGTTTTGGATCATTGTCATGTTGGAAATGTTCACGACGACCAAGGGCACGGAATGATGGTAGCATCTTCTCTTTTAATATAAAGCAGTACTTTTGCAGCCCCACAGGAGGACACTGCCACCACCATGTTTCACTGTAGGTTCATTTTTCTTTGTACTCTTCACCTTTGCGACACCATACATTTTTGAAGCCATCAGTTCAAAAAACCGTTATCTTGGTCTTGTCACTCCAGAGTACAAGGTCCCAGTAGTCTTCTTCTTTTTCATCATGGGCCCTGGCAAATTCTAGGTGGGCTTTTTTGTGCATGGCCTATAGGAGAGGCTTCCTTCGTGGATCACATCCGTGCATGCCATTCCTCTGCAGTATATGTCATATTGTGTCACGGTAACAGTTTGGCTTTCTACTTCTTTAGCTAACTGCAGTGAACTTGCATGGTGATTTTCATCAACCCTTCTCATCAGAAGACGCGCCTGTCGAGGTGTTAACCTCTGAAGGATTTTTTTTACCTTCATGCCAAGAAAACATGAAGGTAAAAACCTTTCAGCCTGTACAACCATTTTAAATAGCATTTTCAGTTTGTAGAGCTCAGACATAGTGTAGTCCCACTTGTTGCTTCACTTGGATGTTTGTACAAGATAGGATTGGAAGCCTTTATGTAGACACATTATTTATGTTTATGTTAGAGAATTTATCTTGATAATTTTTTAGTAGTCACCCAATCCACAGGTGTATTTGTTTTTGAATCAAGTTTTATTGCTGTTGGTTTGTTTTTAGTTTTAACATATTTAAATATTACAGTGTTTTTCTTTTATACACCTTTTCCTTTTTTTTTTTTGCATATATTTCTGAAATGTTTACTGAAAGGTAAGGACAATTCAGTAGCTAAAAGTGACTTAGACTTTAACTTCTTAGAAAGATTGGAAAGCTATTACTAATTTACTGTATAAATGCTGATAAGAGAGGTGCAGCCTACTGTATATTATTCGTACTGTCACATTCAGTAAAACCTGATAATATCCCTTTGAACTCTGTAGTCAAGCCACACCTATACTATCTGTAACAGTCAGAAATAAAAAAACATTGCTTGGGCTCCTTCTGACAACAACAGTATAGCCTCTCCCTTACTATATCAGGTAGGCTACATCCATCACATTCTGAGAATTGCATTGAAAAAATAAAATCGAGGGGTGTGTATGATCTGAAACATATTTTTATATTTATGCACTAAATAACATTGTATTTATGTGTTTTTTATATATATATATATATATATATATATATACACTATATTGCCAAAAGTATTGGGAAGCCTGCCTTTACACGCACATGAGCTTTAATGGCATCCAAGTCTTAGTCCACCCTTTGCAGCTATACTAGCTTCAGCTCTTCCTGGAAAGCAGTCCACAAGGTTTAGGAGTGTGTCTTTGGGAATGTTTGACCATTCTTCCAGAAGGACATTTGTGAGGTTAGGCACTGATGTCGAATGAGAAGGCCTAGCTTGCAGTATCCGTTCTAATTCATCCCAAAAGGTATTCTATCGGGTTTGGGTCAGGACTCTGTACAGGCCAGTCAAGTTCATGCACCCCAAACTCGCCTATCCATTATGGACCTTGCTTTGTGCACTGGTGCACAGTCATGTTGAAAAAGGAAGGGGCCATCCCCAAACTGTTCCCACAAAGTTGGGAGCATGAAATTGTCCAAAATGTCTTGGTATGCTGATGCCTTAAGAGTTCCCTTCACTGGAACTAAGGGGCCAAACCAAACCCCTGAAAAACAACCCCACACCATAATCCCCCTCCACCAAACTTTACACTTGGCACAGTGCAGTCAGGCAAGTACCGTTCTCCTTGCAATCGCTGAACCCAGACGTGTCCATTGGTTTGTAAGACAGAGAAGTGTGATTGGTCACTCCAGAGAACATGTCTCCACTGCTCTAGAGTCCAGTGGCGGTGTGCTTTACACCACTGCATCCGATGCATTGCACTTGGTGATGTAAGGCTTGGATGCAGCTATTCAGCCATGAAAACCCATTCCATGAAGCTCTCTATGCGCTGTTGTTGGCCACATGAGGTTTGGAGGTCTTTAACTATTTACTCTGCAGAAAGTTGGTGACTTCTGTGCACTGTGCGCTTCAGCATGCGCTGACCCCTCTCTGTCATTTTACATGGCCTACCACTTCGTGGCTGAGTTGCTGTTGTTCTCAGTTGCTTCTAAGTAGAAGTGTTATAATACCACTAACAGTTGACTATGGAATATTTTGTAGCAAGGAAATTTCACAAATTGACTTATTGCACAGGTGGCAACCTATCACAGTACCACGCTTGCATTCGCTGAGCTCCTGGGAGATACCCATTTTTTCACAAATGTTTGTAGAAGCAGTCTGCATGCCTAGGTGCTTGATTTTATACACCTGTGGCCATGTAGGTGATTGGAACACCTGAATCCAATGATTTGGAGTAGTGTCCCAATACTTCTTAGCTAAGACATGTTTCATCTGTTTCTGGATTCTCAACTTGTAGTGGCTGAAGAATTGGATGTCAGGCACCACAGTAACTGTTAACAATGCAGAAAAAATGTGGGATGCAAGTCTGAAATCTTTAATAGTCGAGGTTCCCCTGAACTGCTCACCTTTAACTATAAAAAGCAGGTCCTTGTGTGTCCACTTTCCTTTTCTAATTAGGATCACCTGATTCTAGTTAGGCATCTCAGAGTGCCTTTATCATGTCCAGGCCAGATTCCCAATTATCAGCGATCCCAAATATTCATCAGTTTACCAGTCCAACTCAAGCTCATGTCAACATTGACTGGCTGGACTGGCAAACATTCATTAATCATAGCATTAACAATACTGGTCTAACCATACAATTTTCTAAAACACATCTGTTGGTTTCACCTCAAAAATTGTGACTTTTGCCACAATTGCACTCTCTTATATTTGAGAAATGTATGTCATATATTTATGCCGTGTGATCTCTGCAGGACTCTGAAACTTTTTGTCAGCAACTAATACTTCTCTCATTATTTCTCTTTAATAAAGGATTAGTCTGAATCCATAAGTCCAGGATTTAATGCCATAATTATACTAATAATATTCTAAACTCAAAATAGCTAGGACTTAGCAAAGCTAGGTCACCTAGCATCACTAAAGACATTCAATCTAAAATAAATAAGAGTAAAAAACAAAATAAATATTAAGATCACCTCAAGGAAACAAATGGAAAAACAAAGTTACCCTGAAACCGGAAACCGGTTAGATCATTACGAGACAATTATGAATCAAATCCTTAACTAGGCCCCTTTTGATTCTAAATTTTCATTTATTGTATATTTGTTCCCCATAGCATGGTATTGTAAACTGATATAAAGAGAAAATTTAGGCATGTAACTTACCCAGAACCCGTTTCATGAAAAATCATTGGGGTTGATTTAGTAAAGGCAAATAGACTGTGCACTTTGCAAAGTGTAGTTGCATTCTGTAAGAGCAGTTGCTCCAGAGCTTAGTAAATGATAAGAAGCTCTGCTGACTTACATCGTTCAATCATGTGCAAGCAAGAATGGTGTTTTTTTACAATTTCCTTGTATGTGGTTGGGTATTCTTTGCAAAGTGAAGCTTTACCTCACTTACTAAGCTCTGGAGCAACTGCTCTTGCAGAGTGCAACTGTGCTTTGCAAAGTGCACAGTCTATTCACCTTTAGTAAATCAACCCCCAATGTATCCCTGAGTGTTCTAAATGTTTCTCTAGCAACCATGTGACAATAGAGCAGGGTGTGTCCCTAGATATTGCTGCTGTATGAACTGAAGAACGGCATGTATAACAGGACATGACACACATGGTTTAGAGGAAAAAAAAGGTTTATGCTCTGTATGTTAGTGCCAGACGAATGAGTCACATTAACTCTTATAGATATCAACCGTTTGTGAACAAAGCCTACTCCAACTAGTTCATATAAGTATACCATTCAGAGAGAATAGGTTAAGACACTGAAAAACAACTTGAATATCTATATTTTACAGAATATTTGCTGGTTCAGCAATATTCCTAATTGCGGTTAGGCTGAAAACTGTATTACTACCATTTTATTTTTTTAAGTAATCCTTGTCTTTCTTGATTTTGTCCAGAGGCAGTTCTGCTTGTCTTTCCCCCACAAAGAAGTGTACATGACCAGACACAAGGTAGCATATAGGAAGGAATGTGCTGGGGGGGGGGGGCTAGTGGTATACTGTAGCCTTTTTTTCATTAGAATGTAAAGAGCTGTTCACAAATTAAAGGTTGAAGTAGAAGAGGACGTGCTTTTATTGGTTCCTGGGAAGGGGGGAAAGGCTGATGGATTCATTCTAGTTCAACAGCAAAAAAATGTGGGGCCTATTCATCAAGCAGCAAATATCCCTTTCACTTATCATTCACTGCTTTTTTTTTACAACTGTACATAGGAACTTTGACAGAATTAGACCCATTCAATGACCAGATTTACCCACACTCTTGCCACATCGAGTTTTTTTTGTAGCCCCTTGACAAAGATGTCTGCTACCTATTCTTCAGCAGGAGATCCATGTCTCAATAGGAACCTCCATATTTGGTAACAGGGCACATTTTTTTTATCTCCCGGCTCCATCAGTTTTTAAAGTTTGCCATTTTCAGACTATAAATAGTTAAAATCATAATGTGTTCCCACTTATTCATTGCTGAACACATCCCTAAAGATCCCTTTTTGCAAGTGTGGCATGTTGGTACGATCTGATAATATATAATTCATCCTTGCTTCTACCTGGATTTATAGAATACGCTAAATAAACCCATATTGACAAGGTACCCCAGCAGTGAGGTAGCCTATTATGAATGTATTCAGTGTTATTTTTCTTCCAGCAATGATACACAGAGAAAGACTTGGCAGTGTAAAGCTTACTGCAGCATGGATTGTACTGGAATGATAATGACTAGGTAACATACAAGCAGATATATTGCTTGCAGGCATTACAAGTCCCGTGCAAAATATCGTGGTACCTGTTCTCTATGTTAGAGCCTCAAAACTGTGAGGCACTGCACTTAGGAAATGTGGCCAAACAGCTTAGCCATATAAATGATGATCCATATGTAGCACTACTCCCTTAGGAGTCGCTGAGTTTTGGGTCCCCCTATGGTCCTGGACGGCCAGGCAACACACATTAACCACTTGCCAACCGCGCTATAGCCGAATGACAGCTACAGCACGGTTGGACAGTTCTGGGAGGGTGTCATATTATGTCCTCCCAGAACGTGCCCACCCACGTGATGTGGTAAAAGGCCGATCACAGCGTCCTTTTACCATGTGATCAGCTGTGTCCAATGACACATCAGATCACTGGGTAAATGCAGTTGCCGGTTATCGGCTGCACTTTCCTCACGCTGTCACAGCTTGAGGAAAGTAGTGCCGATGACCGTCACCTGTCAGAAAACAGATTGGCACTGATCATCAGGTGTCCAGCAGTGCCACCCACCAGTGCTGCCCACAAGTGCCCAGCAGTGCCGCCCACAAGTGCTCAGCAGTGCTGCCCACAAGTGCTTAGCAGTGCCACCCAACTGTGCCCAGCAGTGCCACCCACCTGTGCTCAGCAGTGCCTAGTAGTGCCACCTACCAGTTCCCAGAAGTTCTCTCCATCAGTGCCACCCATCAGTGCTGCCCAGCAGTGCCACCCATCAGTGCCCAAGTCTATCAATACACACTTGTGGGCAAGTTGCTTGCCACTAGTAGCTAGGTACTACCCCAGACGGGGGGATGGGGCTAATCTCTGCTGTCCCCAGTCTGGATTTTGCAGGTTTTTTCTGACCTAACCCACTGGTCATGTGTGGCTATAAAAGGAAAAATGTGTCCGAGTCTGAGAACCTGGCAAAGCTAGTGAGCAACAAAGTCCTGTGCCTGTGTCCAGTTGCTCACCGCATCCAGCGACCTTCTACAATGTAAGGAGATTGCTGGATCTTGCAGCCCTCCCCAAAGTCACCAGTCTGCTGGAGCATCTCCCATATGGACTATCCATGGATGGACCTTTACCTATGGGGCAGCCACTGTAGTTAGGGACTAGGTAAGGAAAGAACTGTGTTCTGTTGTCTGGAATGCTCAAGTTATTTAAGTAAAGTATTGAAACATTGCCTTTACCTGTATGTAAGTAACCGGCAAACATGTAGATTCCAACCTGGGTCAGTAGATACATTGGGGTATGAAGACAGCAGTGGTTACCATAGGTAACAAAGTTTTTACAAGCAGCCTGTCATGAAGCGTGTACCTGTGAGAGGTGGGACAGCCAATATCTCCACTTCATCTCCTATAGCAATGGGCGTAAATCAGTATTCAGAGGTTCCCAGCCTTTGCACAGGTATAGAAGAGAAGGAGTCAAGTAAGTGCATACATGGAGTCCACACAAGGTGCATGGCAGGACCCCATTCCATTACTGGGAATGAGGCAGCAGAGATACGTTGGACAGGTAGAGAGGGCATCAGCTCTGCATTTCCCTCCTAAATGCAACAAGTGAGAGTAGTAGTGTACGTGGAAATAGTGCTCAAGAGAGTTATCTAGATTTCAGTCATCTGTTCACATGTACACATTATACAACCATCTTTGAGTTAGAACAGCGCTTTAAGGTTGAGTTATCCCTGAAAGTGACCCCTGCCTTGTCCCAGAGCATTGATGAGCACGGCACAGTAAAGGAACCCAATGTGCAAGGTGACAAACCCTGTTCTAGGTGCCCAGCATAGCCCAGAAGAACCATCCTGGGAAGGCCTTTTATGTGACCCACACTAGGCACCCAATGAGGAGGGGAACATGGAGGAAGCACCACTCACCTACCCCACAGCTCAGCACACTCATTAATGTGTGGACATATGACAAGGGGGTAAACTGACCAAGTTAAAGTAAAAAAGTGCTACAGCTAAGGCTGTGTAGGCTAAATGGTTCAGCATAGTCGGATGTTAGTTACTTGCAATAAACTTACCTTAAAGTGATACTAAACACACACTAAATTTACATTATCTCTTCTCTTTATGCATTTAGATGATGGCACTGTATTTTTTTAATAAAAAAAATCAAGTACCTTTTTCATAATTGATATACAGCTGTCGTGTAACCTGGCTCCTATCAGACCATCTGCAAGGAAACATCAGCTGGAGAAGCTACCAATCCTCTGCTGCCAGTCACATGTTAAAAAAAAACCTTTGAAATACAAGGGAAAATACACAACTAGTATCAAATAGGTTTAAATCATGTTTAAATCATCATGCAAATATGTATTTGAACTCAAATACAAATGATTGGTTCTGCCAGTCACAGCCTGTTTCAATCCCACCAGCCGTTGTCTATTGTTTGTATGGGCTTAGAATTACAGGGAGGCAATTCCTCCAATCACAGCCTATTTCAACCCCACCAGCCTGTGTCTATTGTTTGTATGGGCTTAGAATTACAGGGAGGTGATTCCTCCATCAATCAACAG